TACATTATGTCCATAAGGTTTAGCAGCAACAACACTGGTATAAGAACTACTATCTCCGTCACCAAGATATGTGGTATACCTTAAATTGTTTTTTTTTTCAGAACGATGAAAAAGTTTTAAAACACCACTTGATTCCATAGCTGATGATGATCCAGTATGACTAATTTTACACTTTTGGAAATGTGATGACTGGAACTTTTCATATTCAACTGGATGTGTGTATTTTTTTAATTTCCATATTGAACATAATTTACATGTTTTTGTTTCTATTTGAAAGTCAATACATTTACCACTTTCAACTGAAATTGCAGAAACAACTCCATTATTTGAAGTAAAACCACGCTTTTGCCATGAACCATCAAAGCTACACATAATGTCTCTTGATGTTTCACCTGCAGGGATTAATTCATCAGCAGCATTTTTCATGTTCTGGTCAACTAAATTTTGATAAACATCTAATAAGTTATGTAAAGTTTTATTGTAGCTTTTTTTGTTCATAGGTGGCTTCATATTCATCATTCCACAAAATTTTTCTAATGACGATAACCCTTTACCCATTTCACGAAAAGCCACAATGACACTTGTGTTAATATCAAATGGTTTTTGCCCACTACATTTGCTTTTACTAGGCTCTTGTTGTTCAAGAAAATTTTTTTTACAAAATGTAGCAGATGAAAAAAACTCAGTTTTCCAATTGCAACTGTTACAACATATTTTTAAACCAATACTCAAACCATACTTTTTTGACGAATCAAACATTAAAAAAACATTATCTTCACACAAATTTGGGCATTTAAGTAACGATATAACGTTTTCCAACAGATTAAAGTTCATAACAAAGTTAAAATCTGTACTTTGAAAATCTTGAAAATCTCTATCAGCAATATTTAATTTTTTTGAAGAAGCTTTCGTTTAAAGTTTTCGTTTCTGAAGAAGGAATCTTTGTATATCTGTTTCCACGAAATTTTGCTTTTTTATTATTGTATATTCTGCTTGATAATTGTTTTCTCTTTGATCCACCCATATTACTTTTATTGTAAAAAAAAAAAAAAAGCATAAATAATAAAGTTTGAATGCAGAAGCGAATTACGTCATAAAGCCATCATGCTGAACTAATTAACAAGAAGTCGTTGCAGTCTACAACTTTGCACTTAAAATAGTTGGCTAGGTAAGTATTTTATGGCTTTTTTATGGTTTTAACTTGTTTCTGAAGCGCATAACAACGGAATAAACAAAGCGTTGCTAGGGGGAAAATAAAAATTATTTTATACCGATACATTATAAACAGGTTTTAACATGTAAAGCTTTTTTTATTTATTTAAATCAACTAAAAATTCGAAATCTGTGATGATTATATTGGTTAAATAATGAAAATAAAAAAAAATAAAAATTTTCACTTTTATTGGTGTACTACCACCTTAAGACTACTCTTGATAGGTTGAAACTAAACTCTAGTGAGCAAATCCAGGTTTCGCGTTTTTTGTAAAATTAGGACCCGAATTATTTAAATTTATTTATTTATACTAGTAAATTAAAATACTAGTAAAAAAGTAATTTAAACCGTTTATACTAGAGCTCCCCCGCCACTTAATAAACCGTTTATTTAGTGACGGGATTGCTCAGTTGGTTAGAGCGCCAAAGGAAAAGTTAAAACCCGGACTGTTGAACGATACAAGTTCAAATCCCGCCACCGCCACAACCAACAGCGCTTGAGTAGTACTTCGTACGCAAAAATGTTGGTCAATAATGGACGCTACTTTGGATTAGTCTTAATGACTATTTGTGGCTGTTCAAATGCTACGCCAACACTATCTTTGGATATAAGAACATTGTATAGAAAAATGTAGCATGAAAACTCAAATAAATAAAAAATGTGTATATATATACTTATATAATTATAATCAAGCCCGGCGCGATAGGTGTGGGGGTGTGACCCCCCCCCCCATCAATGATTTTTAGTCGGCAAATTGGACCCTTAGTCGGCAAATTGGACCCTTTTAGACTAGTTGTCGACCCTTGTCGATATAGGTTAGTTGGTAATCTAGACAGTCAGCAAATGTCGTCATGGCAGTCGGCAAATTTTGGAAAACGAGGACCTTTTTTTTTTTTTTATAGTCAGCAAAATGTAATGGCACCCCACACGTTTTTTCAAAATAGTTTTTGAATGAAAGATTTCCTAAGTATTAAAACACATCAAATTTGTTTGAAAATTAGGGGTGTATCGGAATAGAAATTTTAAATTCCGGTCGGAACCGGGTTTATCGGAATTGTTAATAAAATTATATTCATGCAACTTTTTACCTTCAAAGAAAAACCTTCAAGATGAAATAAAAATAAAAGTGAAAGCCTTCAAGATGAAATTGAAAGCCGAATTGAAAGTGAAATCCTGCATTTCTGCATCGTGGCTATATAAAATATATTTATGACCAATTATATATATAACCTATTTCATTAATTTGATTCTTGTTTCATTTATATCTAATATGTTGTTTTTATTTGTTTCCTAGAATTTTATTTATTGAAAGTTTTAACCAGCATCATATTTATATTTAAAACTATTTCTTTGTTTTCTATTTTTTCCATTTAGGTTAAAATTGAAATATATACTGCATTATGCATCCTCTACTTTTTAACTATTTAAAATTTAAGTAACATTTTAAATGAGACTAATCTCAGAGGCAGGAAAATTTTTTGATGAAAAACAGCTTAGTTTTTAAATAGTTACTATCCAGTTTTAGTTATTAACTAAAACTGGATAGTAACTATTTGCGCCGCATTATTCGTAAACTTTTAGAAATCCTTACAAAATTGATTGTTGCAAATAAAATAAGATTGTATTCTTTTAGAAATTTGTAATTTTTACCTAGGTTTACCTATAATTCATCATTGCCCCGTAGGGCAATGATGAATTATAGGTAAACCTAGGTAAAAAATGTAGAATTTTTTGATTTAATTTACACAGTCTGTGTTACATGTCTTAAAAAAAGGTAAAAAAATAAGTTCCGGCATTCCTGCCTGAAATACTGTAAATCCGGCCGAAACCGGAATGACAGCCAAGTCACAAATTCCGGCTGGATTTCAGTACATCACCATTGAATATTTACAATGTTCTCAAAAGTTTCCTTATGACAAAAAGAATATATAGTCTTCCCTCTATTTAAATCAAGTATTTTTTAATGTTTTCTTGAAGAAATGGTACTTAGAAATTTTGTTTATAAATTATGTACATAATGTTTTTATTTCTTTTTTATTATTATATTATTGTTTGTTTTGATTTTTGTATTTTCCATACTTAAATACAAAACGTTTTGTCAAAAAATCGTCAGTTTTTCCAGCTCAAAAAATGCAATAACTTTGGATCCAATTAACTTCTAAAGTTGAAAAACCCCTCATTTTTTAAGTCTTTTTAAGTTCTATACAGCTATGTTAATATATAATATATTGACAAAAAAAAATCCTCTGGAACGGCTAGAATAAATGAATTTATGATAAGACACGAAAAGTTCTCTTTGCGCAAAACAGAAAATACAAGCTTATTGAGAGCAACAAGTTTTAACCGTCAAAATGTAAATGAATTTTAAATCATTTTAAAAAGAGAACTTTTTAAGTCTAAATTTCCTCCGGAAGGCATATTTAATATAGACGAAAAAAGTGCCATGACTGTTGTGTAGACACCAAATATTATAGCTCAGCATGGTCAAAAGCAAATTGGTCAAAATGTCTCAGCTGAACGAGGGCAACTTGTAACTATGTGTTCTATTATAAATTATCTATAATAGCAGACATATTTACAAGTTACCCACGTTCAGCTGAGACGTTTTTACCAACTTGGTTTTATTTCCAATTGCATTAATTAAATTTTAATAAATATAATTGGAAACTCTATGCAACTTGTTTTTATTTTTCCAAGAGCAAGAATTCACGAACGTACGATTGCTGGAGGATCTAATGTTTGTGTTAAATTTGCTAACAACCCCAGTAGTGGATGAATGACAGGAGCACTTTTTATACGAGTTCTCAAACCTTTAAAGCTACATTCAAAATGGAGTAAAGAATAAAACAAGGTTTTGTTATTACTAGATAACCACTAAAGTCATTGTACTATTAATGCCATCAATTTTTGCGGATGGAAAATGGAATTGTTTTACTTACTTTCACAACACATTGTACGCATAAGCTTTAACGCCTTAATGTTTCAGTAATGGGTCCTTTTAAACAGAATCTTTCAGTATCTTAAATTGACTGCTTGTTAAATCACAGAGGAAAAACTATAATCATTCACCATTTAGCTAGTTTAATAACCCCTACATATAACAACTCGTTTACACTAATTAATATAATAGTAGGGTTTAAAAAATGTGGTCTTTAACTTTTTAAAAAATCTTTAATTTACAGAAAATAGAAGGTAATTAACAAGCGTAACAACCAAAGAAACCAAAACTTAATTACAACAAGATTGTCTTCCTCTAACGGTTTGCATGATAAAAGTAACTCTTGTTTGAAAGAAAATATGCCTAAATTTTTAAGACAAGTCTGTTAAATACACAGAATTTTTTTTTTTAAAAAAGCATTAAATTGTGGAGATTTTTTTGTTTAGTTCAATGTGCATCATCTGTTACAACTTAACTTAACAACTTAACGTTAACTTTTGTTTGAAAAATTGAAGAAATAAATGCAAATATTTTGATTCTTAATTTTTTGAAGGAAAAAGTTGGATTTAATATACTTTTCACTTTTCTGACAAAATAAGTGGTCGGTGCCAAATGCAGAGATCTTTACTAAACTTCCTTTGCCAAACAATGCAAGAAACATGACGAGAGGTTCTGATATTTTCAACTCAAGCTTTTTTCAACTCAAGCTAACGGACGCACTTTTTACCTCAAAAAAAAAAAAAAAAAAAAAATTTTTTTTTATTATAAATAAAGACGTATCTTTAATAAAAAGTTTAACTTAATAATATGGCTGTAACACTTCCAGAAATAAAGAAACTTTTAAAAGAAATGTTCAAAGAATTTAAAAAGGAAACGGAAGAAATGTTTCAAAAGCAAGAAAAAGCAGTTCTCGATATTATTGGGGCTAACATCAAAATAATAAACGATAGATTTGAAAAAGTAGAGAAAAATGTTGATGGAAATGCAAATTGTATAAAGAAATTAACAAAAGAATTAGAAGATATAAATGTAAGCCTTAATTTTAATGAAGGACTTATTGACGAAAAAATAGTTACTAACAACAAATATCTAGATAAAAAAATGGAACATACAAAAATAGATAATGTATTAAAAGAAAAACAACGAAACTTAGAAGATCGATCGCGCCGAAACAATCTTAGGATTGAAGGAATTTACGAGAATGATAAAGAATCATGGGGGGATACAGAAAAAAAAGTCCAAACATTCTTCACCGAAAAACTTGGACTAAAAGATGTTGAAATTGAAAGAGCTCACCGCACTGGACGAAAAAACGATGGACGACCAAGGACTATAATATTAAATCTTCAGAAATATAAAGACAAAATAAGAATATTGAAGGAATTGTATCGACTCAAAGGCACAAATACGTTCGTGAACGAAGATTTTTCTCGAGAAACCGTCGCTATTCGAAAAAAATTGTTCGCTGAAGTGAAAGAAAGGCGATTGAATGGTGAAAGTGTTACGGTAAGGTATGACAAAATTGTTTATATTAAAACTTCTTTTAAAAACAATTTTAACGAATAATTTTATGGGCATTCCTAAAAAGAAATCTTAAATAAAAATATTAATCATGGCTACAAATGAAAACTTTGAATCTCGTGTTTTTAAAATTCAAAAAACAAATTACTCTACGTTAAATGAAAATTTAGACTCTGATTACAATATTTATCACAATAAATTTTCAGATTTTTCATATTACTTTCCTAGCCAACTAGAAGGGTTTCTTTTTAAGAATGAGAATGAAAGAAATAATAATCAAATGTTAATTCTCCACCTCAATATAAGAAGCTTAAATAGCAATTTTGAAAAACTTTTAGACTTATTAGAAGAAACTAAACATGTTTTTAATATAATTTGTTTAACAGAAACTTGGATTTCTTTAGAAGACCTAAATAATTTTCATCTACCTCATTTTAATACATTTTTAATGGAAAGGAAAACAAATAAGCGCGGTGGTGGAGTTTTAATTTATGTTCACGAAAATTTTGAGCATTGTATTAGGCATGATTTGAGCGTTTCTGACTGCGATAAAGAAATTGCAACTATAGAAATTACTAACTGCAACAAAAAAAAAAAAATTTACTAAGCTGTTGTTATCGGCCACCTAATGGCGTAAGCGAAAACTTTAGCATGTTTTTACAACAAATTATTAAAAAAGGTACCGTTGAAAAAAAACAAAATTTTATAATTGGAGATTTAAACATGAATTGTTTTTTTTATAATGATAACCTTAAAGTTAAAAATTTTTATGATGAAATTTTTGAAACGGGATCAGTATCTTTAATAAACAAACCTACAAGAGTAACGACAAATTCAGCAACTCTAATAGATAATATAATAACTTCAGATATTTTCAACAATGATTTAAAAGTAGGTATTTTGCGAACCGATATATCAGATCATTTCCCTATATTCCTAAAATTAGATAATACAAACTCTGAAAAAACTTTAACCGCACAAAGAGTAATTAGAAAACGCATTTATAATGAGGCTAACCTTAATTTATTCAAAAATCAACTTTCATTACTACACTGGAATAACATAAATTTTAATGATAATGCTAACAATATCTATGAGTCTTTTTTCAAAACATTTTTTTCTGTATACGTTGCTAACTTCCCAATCATTGAAAATAAAATAACTACTAAGAGCTTAAATACACCCTGGATCACTAAGGGCTTTAAAAAATCGTCCAAAATTAAGCAAAAACTATATATAAATTTTTTGAAAACAAAAACACCTAAAAACGAAAAAATTTACAAGGACTACAAAAACTTATTTGAAAAAATTCGCAAAAATCTAAAAAAAAATTATTACTCCCAATTATTCAATACATTTAAAAATGACACAAAACGCACATGGCAAATAATGAATGAAATTATTGGAAAACAAAAATCATGCTCAGGTTTTCTGCCACAAATGGTTAGAGTCGATAACAAAAGTTTATACGAACCAAGAACTATGGCTCAAGAATTTAACAAATTTTTTATCGATATAGGCCCAACACTTTCTAAAAAAATCCCAAACACCAAATCTTTATTTACTGATTTTCTAGTACCCATTGATAATTGCATTGGTTCAGTTGAGTTGTCTTCTGAATTGTTGTTTGAAGAGTTTGAAAGAGCCTTCAAATCTTTAAAAAAAAATAAAGCAGTTGGAGCAGACCAAATAAATGGAAACGTTATTATAGATTGTTTTGAACACCTAAAAGTTGTTCTTTTTAAAGTTTTTAAAGCTTCTATCCATCAAGGTGTTTTCCCCGAACTGTTCAAAATTGCCAAAATTATTCCTATTTTTAAAGAAGGGGACAAATCAATTATAAGTAATTATCGCCCTATTTCTGTTCTTTCCACCTTTTCAAAAATTTTAGAAAGAATTATATATAACAGAGTATACAAATATTTTCATGTTAATAAATTACTTAACATTAATCAATTCGGTTTTAAAAAGGATAGCTCAACTGAACATGCAATTATCCAATTTGTACGGGAAATCTCAAAATCATTTAAAAAATCACAATATACTCTAGGACTTTTTATTGATCTATCAAAAGCTTTTGATACGGTTGACCACCAAATTCTAATCCATAAACTTAAACACTATGGAATAAAAAATAAAGTTTTAAAATGGTTTGAAAGCTATTTGTCAAATCGTAAACAATTTGTTCCGAGTAATGACGGTTATCACACCAATTGTCTTTCTATAACATGTGGAGTCCCACAAGGCTCAATTCTTGGTCCACTCCTTTTCCTAATTTATATTAATGATTTAAATAAAGCCTCTAAACTAACAAGTATTATGTTTGCAGATGATACTAACTTATTTCTTTCTAACAGTGATATCTTTGAACTTTTTAAAACAATGAACAAAGAGCTTATACATGTATCGAGTTGGTTTAAATGTAATAAGTTAACTCTAAATTCTAATAAAACAAAGTGGACCTTATTCCATTCGCTTTCCAAAAAACGATATTTGCCATTAAACTTACCTAAAATTTTTATTGATCAAAATGAAATAAAAAGGGATTCTGTAACAAAATTTTTAGGTGTTTACCTTGATGAAAACATCACTTGGAATCATCATATCGACTACATAAGCACTAAAATTTCAAAAAACATAGGAGTTTTATATAAAGCACGAATCTAATATATATATTCATATATTTGCCGTACATATAACATTTACAAGTTTCGTAAATTAATATTTACAAGTCTCGTGAGTCAAAATATATATAGTGAAATTTATAATTAAATAGTACAGGCCGGACTTCAAGAAGATCGTAATGATCTTATCACGAAGCCCTTACAATGTGTTTGATATATTATTATGATTATGTTAAATATAATTATATATTAAGTACAACTATGTTTATATATTCTTTAAATTTAGCTCATAATAAAAATAAACTCAAAATAAGCTCAGTATAAAATATTAGACATAACTAGGTGCATAGTAACTAAACTTGATAAGAAAAAATCAAGTGTTTTGTGTAATAAACAATTTTTGATATATTGTTTGAGAAATTTGAGAAAAAAAAAAGTTTAAGAAAGAAAAAAAAAAAAAGATTCATTTAGATAATACACATAAACGAGTCAGTTCACTTTGTAGTTGATATATATGTATTTTAATTTATAGTCTTAGAAGAATTCTGAAGAATCTACCTCAATAAGAAAATTTTAATCAAACTTTATTATTCATTTATACACAGTTATTTAAATTATGCTAATATCGCCTGGGGTAGTACAGAAAAAAGTAAGTTGCAACGTCTTTATCGCCGTCAGAAACATGCTATCCGTTTAATCTGCTTTGCAAATCGCTTTTCTCACGCAAAACATTATTTTATTGAAATGAGAATTTTAAATATATACGAGCTAAATATATATAATGTTTTATGCTTTGTATACATGTGGAAAAATGACTTGTCTCAATCTGTCTTCAAAGATATTTTTACTCCGAAACCCATCAACAAATACAATTTGAGAAATACTGATTTTTTAAATGAACCTTTCTGTCAAACGAACTTTAATCAATTTTGTATTGTCTATCGGGCACCACACCTTTGGAATAAAATTGTTTTGCCCAATTTTGATTTCGAACTACCCATTACTTTTCGTTTTTTTAAAAGTAAATTAAAAACCCTTATTTTTTCATTAGAAGACGTATTATGTTATTATTAATAATATAAATTAATAACTTTGCCTTTTCTTATTTATATTTGTAAAAAGTTTATTCTTACTTATTTTGCTGATTTTATATTCTTTACTTCACGTATACGTTTATATAAAATATTTGTGAGTAGATCCGCGTGATCTCTCTTTGGATTATAAAATATATATTTGGATTATATATATATGAAATTTGGAAAAATTTGATACTGTTAATGCTTGTTTGAACTTATTTAAGGTTCTGACGACAAGATCCTTTGATCTTTTTTCAGATACCTTATTTTATATTTGTGAAAGTTTATTATTATCATCATTATTTTTATTTTATTTTTTTTGGCAATATATAGTTGTAATACGACCAACAAATGTAAAATTAAAAAAAAAAAAAAAAAAATATGACATTCAAATTTTATTTTTTCCACATTCAAACTTGGTTGAATGTGATAAACTTTATTCTTTCAATTGGACTACAAAAAAACTTTCATGTTTTTCTATACCTGTTTTACATTCACACTCTTTGTTTCTTTATTATTATTTGAAAGTGATATAAGTTTGATTTGGATTTTGATTTTAGCTGTTTGAGTATAAAATACAAGAAAACTGTTTAATGATTTTGAGATCTTTATAAAAGCTGCTACTGTCAATGGCTTTGTTATTGTAAATAATTACTCCTGATTTAAAAAAAAGAAATTTAAAAAAACATTTCTTGTATTTTTTTATATTTTCAAAACTGCCCTAACAATGTCCAAAATCTAATCCCTCTTGTGGGGTAGTTATGGACAATAAGCTTTTTTTCTGATAAAAAGCAATTTATTTGAACTAACTTAACTTAATTAAATTAACATTTTCAGCAAAAAATTTTAACTTTCTTTTAAACAGTATGAAAGCTGTAATATCTTTTTTTTAAAGTGTCTTTAAACCTCTGTGTAATTCATTGTTGAAAACAATGTATACATCTTATGAAGTTACATAAGATAAAAAACAAAAATAAATTTTTTTTTTTTGACAAATATTTTTTGAAACAAACTAAAAACAGCAAATGTGATTTCAATATTTAAAAGTAATTTTGAAGCACAACTAATGAGATGCAAACAACTATGAACTAATGTCCGCTCTATTCGTATTTAAAGAGATTTTTGTAGATTGGAATTTATTACTAAATAAATTTATTATTATATTAATAATATAATATAATAATAAATATATTTTTCTGAGAGTTCTTATTTATTATGTTATATTGTATTACATTATCTAAGATCCTGTCACCGAGAACCGTTCAACAATACAATAATAATAAAC